GGTCGTGGGGCCTGAACTCTGGGCCTGGGCGCTGTCCCTCAGCTCTTCAGTTCAAGGCTAGCGCTCTACCACTTGAGCCACAGCGCCACTTCCGACTTTTTTCTTTTTGCTTATGTGGTGCTGAGGAATTGAACCCAGGGCTTCAGGCATGCAAGGCAAGCGCTCTACCACTGAGCCACCTTCCCAGCCCTTATTAATTATTGGTGCACAATAAATATATAAAACTAGCCTTGCATCTCTGGCATAAATCCAACTTGATCATAATGAATAATGTTTTTGATTAGTTGTTGAATTCTGTTAGCAAATACTTTATTAAGGAGCTTTGCATCTATGTTCATCTGATAGATTGGTCTATAGTTACCTTTTATCAGTGGGTAACTACTTCATTATTCTTCCTATTGTAATAAAGGTTCCTCTTTGATTTTGCTGCCTTTAACGGTGTGTCTAGGAGTATTTCTTCTCCGGTCTGTCTCCTTGCAGTTCTGTATGCCTCTGTCAGATGGGTGAGACTCTCTTTGTTGAGGTTGGGGAAGAGTAGTGATTTTTCATTTCTATTTCATAGAACAGTTTGGGGAGTATTGGTGTTGGCTACTCTTTAAAGGTCCATAGAACTCAGCCATGAATCCATTGAGACCTGGACTTCCTTGTTGGGAGACTATTGCTTTTTTGGTTTCATTGCTTGTTACAGGCCTAAGTGGTTTCTATCTTCTTGCTACAGCAAGAAGGCAGCTCGTATGTCTCTAGGAACTTATACATATAGACCAGATTTTTCATTTTATTTTAGTATAGGTTTTGAAAGTAGCACCTGAGAATCTTTTGTATTTCTCAGATGTTGGATGTGATGTTTCTTTTTCATCTCTAATTTTGTGGATTTGGATCTCTCTCTCTCTTTCTCACACTGTCAAATTGGCTAGGGTTTGTCAATCTTACTGTTTTTCCAAAAACTAGTTTTCTGTTTTGTTGATTCTGTGCATAGTTTTCTTAGTCTCTTACTTCATTGATTTCTGTCCTAATCTAGTAGTTTTGGGTTTGGTGTTTTCCTGTGAAGTGTTACTTGCACCATGAGGTACTTGAACTGTTCACCCCTTGTTTTCTTTATGTATTTGCTTAGAGCTATGAACTTTCAACACAGCTTTTATTGTATCCCAGAGGTGTTTTTCTTTTTTGAGTGTAGAAACTTTCTTATTTTTTTCATTATTTCTTTAGTGACTCACCTGTTATTCAAAAGTGTGTTGTTCAGTCTCCATGTATTTGAGTGTTTTTTGTAGTATCTTTTGCTGTTGAGTTCTAATTTAATTCCATTGTAATCAGATATGGTACAGAGATATCTCAATTCTATTGTATTTACTCAGGCTTCTTGTATGTCTGAGTATATTTTGGAGAAGACTCCATGGGCTGCTGAGAATATGTATTGTCCATTTGGGTTATTGTGTCAATTAATTCAGAGGCCACTGTTATTTATTCTCCCACTATTACTGTGTTGGGGTCTAAGTGTTTTTGTAAGTCAAAGATAAAGAAGGTTTAAGTGCATTCAAAGTTATTCTAAGCTTCTTTCTGTTGTAATAAAGGTCCCTCTTTGATTTTGCTGCCTTTAAAATTAGTTCCTTGTTTTAAAACTGGAGTATATACAACAGTGTGTCTAGGAGTATTTCTTCGGTCCTTTCTGCTTGCACTTCTGGCAGATGGGTGAGATTTTCTTTCTTGAGGTGGGGGAAGTTTTCTGTTACTTTTTGTTGAATAGGTTCTCAATGCCTTTAGTTTTGAATTTTTCTCCCTTTTCTATTCCAATTATGTGTAGATTTGATCTTTTGGCCTAATTTGCTTGTTTTTGAATGTCCTTTGGTTTGTTCTGAGGGTTTGTTGTTGTTGTTTTAATGTCTTTTGACAGTTTGTTCTAATTCCTCTGCTTTATCTTCAAGTCCTGATACTCTGTTTTCAACTTTTTTTTGTCCTATTGCCTATGCTTTCAGCTGTTTTGTAATAGGGAGATAGCACTCTCCATGCCTCCTAGCTCTTTATTGAAGTTGTGTTTCATGTTCTTCATGAAAGTTTTCAGTTTCTGCTTCTTGTTGATACTGCCTCTCATGTCCCGTATTTTCTTCATCTTGCTTTTTGTAAACTTTCAGTGTTTTGTAAAATTGTTTACAGTCCTGTTTTATCTCATTGCCTATTTCTCTCATCATTGCTTTAATGATTCTTTAGCTTCTCTTCTTACATCCTGTGTTGTTAGCATTTGTTTGTCAATTTTGTAATCTTTCATTGTGATTTATGCATCTGGGTTCAGGGTTTGTAAAGGCTGTGCAGTGTGGGTATGGAGTTAGTGGTGATGGGAGCAACAATATAAAAGCTTAACTATGAATTGAAAAGATTGGGGTTCATCTGTATGGAAAAGATAAACAAATTTATAGAGGAAAGAGAAAAAGACAGCAAAGAGCACAGGGAATCAGTGTAAAAGAAGAAAATCAGAGAAATCATTCAGTCTATTCCATTGAAGTAAACAAAGATGAGGGGTGATGAGTCTCAGTCCCTAAACACTAGTGCAGCCACCTCTAGGTCACCTGAGCCAGGTGCTGGTGCACACTCACTCAAGCAGAGGCTCTTGAAAAATATCACATGAACACAAAACAAGTCTGAAATTCAGTAAGTAGTCTGTTTTTTTTCCTCATCCAGTTCTCTCCTGGGGATCCTCTTCACTCCCAGTCTGAGGCTCAGCCCTGTGAACCCTGTGACCAAGATGGCAGTCAGTGGCTGGACCCTAGCCAGCTTCCACTGAGTTTGTCCCTGCGGGCTGGGAGCGGGTGCTCAACTTCCCCGTAGCCCGCTGGGTCCTTGTGCCTGGTTGGGATCCACTACCCACATGTGCCTGGGTTTCAGACCATCCCTTATCATTGCGCAGGCCACTGCAAAGTGTCTGTGCATCTACATTGGCACCAACAGGCATCAAAGACCACTTCCAGACTGTCTCATGACCTCTCTAGGGCTGGATTTTTCTTCCTAAGCCCTGTACCTGTATGGTCAGATGGATCTCTGACCTTTTTCAGTCACTGTTCCTCCATCTTCCCAGAATTCCTTTGAAGGCGCTTAAAAGGATAGTTGAGTGAGCTTTGACAAATGTATTTATCTAACAATTACCCAAATACAGAACCTTTCTATGACCCAGAAACTTAACCGCTGCCTCCTTTCCCCTGCGCCCTGCCCCACCTCAACTTGTTGCCTGATTTCTTTGAATTCAACTGGTGGGGTTATGCACTTTGTGGTGGCTTCTTTTGCATAAGATAGTGTTGTAGAGAATCATTAATGCATCAGTGTTGTTGGACTACTAAGGGTGCCTATTTTAATTTTTTTTTAAATCTAAATAAACTTGGAAGTTGGTTGCTGGTGGCTCATGCCTGTAATCCTTGTTACTTAGGTGAATGAGATCTGAGGATTGCCGTTCAAAGCCAGCCCAGACAGGAAAGTCTATGAGACTCCTTTCTCCACTTAACCACCAGAACACTGGAAGTGTCACTGTAGCTTAAAGTGGTAGAGTGCTAGCCTTGAGTGAAAAAGCCTAGGGACAGTGCTTAGGCCCTGGGTAACCCCCTCCCCCCCAAAAAAAAAGACGGCCTTGATTGTCTGAGAATGAAATTTTATTCTAACTCACTGTAAGCATATATGAGCTGTATGGGACTGTCTGTATGTCAGATGTCTGCCTTAGTGAGAATTTATTATTAGGCTGATTAGTAAGCATTAAACACATTCATATTCTATAGGAGCAACAAAACACAAATGGAATAAGAAGGATGAACTTGTCCAGTTTTATAAATCTTGGTGTTGAATACCACCTGAAATGTCAACTAACACTCATCATTCATTGTAGGTGCTACAGAATATCTTAGAAACAGAAAATGAGTATTCTAAAGAGCTGCAGACTGTGCTGTCCACCTACCTGCGGCCCCTGCAGACCAGCGAGAAGTAAGTTGGCCAATAGATTTCACGGATTGAGGTAGGCCTCACCCTGGGCTGAACTCTTTATGCCAATTTGCCTTAGACATAGCAATGTTTGATGGATTAAGAATTTAGTAGGAGTTTGGGAATGGGCAATGAGACTGTAAATCAGATCATTTACATCTTCAATGTTATTTTTCTTGGTTCTAGGTTAAGTTCAACAAACACTTCATATTTAATGGGAAACCTAGAGGAGATATGTTCTTTCCAACAAACACTTGTACAGTCTTTAGAAGAATGCACCAAGTAAGTAAGATACTAAAAATTTGTAAATTCAAATTGAGGCAATTGGTATCAGAAGGATCACATTTAACATCATTTTAGAATTCACGTTTCTAGGGGCTGGGAAGGTGGCTCAGTGGTAGAGCGCTTGCCTTGCATGCCAGAGGCCCTGGGTTTGATTCCTCAGCACCACATAAGAAAAAAGCCGGAAGTGGCGCTGTGGCTCAAGTGGTAGAGCGCTAGCCTTGAGCTGAAGAGCTGAGGGACAGCGCCCAG